CAAAAAACAGCTGAACCATACAAAAAAGGTCCTGTCTGTGGGTGGTCATGGACAGTTATTAGGCCTGCAAAGATCCGTTAATGATGCGCTTCACTTGTGAGTGAGCTTTATGGAGCCGTGGCTTTTGAAAGGCTATAGCTGCTTCACAGCCCGTTATGATTTTTGTGTTGCTATCTGGATATACTGCATCTCAAGTAGATTCGTTCTTGATAAACACATCAGCCAAGCAACATATGAGCCTAGAAACAATGATACTCTAATGAACTGTGTTGAGATGTTTTGCAAGACATTGCTCTGCATGTACTGAGGACAATCTATGATCATGGGCTTTCCACTGCTCTGTTTACTAGCCTTTGTATACTTTGGATTTCTGACATTTATGATCTTTCATGATTTGTATTCTTGCTTTCCTGATGTTGCGTAGCTTGCCTATTTACTTTTTCCCCTATTCTTCCTGAGTCCTATATAAAATCCCCAACTATCATATCATGAATAATTGGTAAAATGTTATGTGCATTTGCTATTGCTCTATGAGTCTTCCATTTGAATGACCATTGATATGAACTGACAAATGAAAGAATGTTCCTTCTTAAAGATTAATGGCTTCAAGCTCTTCTTTGTAAAATCCCATCAATCAACCAAAGAGAAACTGAGCCAGAGACACACTTGGCCATGCAGTGCCATTCTGAAAGCTGTGTCCATCTGATAGACATTGCCTGATTCAATGGGCTCATTGACCTTATACAATACCTATGAATTCCGGCAACATGCTGGCTGCTGCCGATTTTAGTGCTAACTAGGGATGCTGTAGAGATAGGCACTGTTATTTATATTGTTCATATCCTTTTTATTTTCTCTGATTACTGAACCTCTTCTGCCTATAATGATGACTAATATGCTACCAGAATCTTGATCCGCTTGACTGAAACATTAGAAAAAATGACAGAAATCCAAACCCAATGTCCCAGCCTCTTGACAGAAATATCATCAAAGCACTGATACTCATACACAAAGTTACACAAATGCAACACACAACTCTAGCAATCTGTTTCAGCAAATAAAGCTACAGTATCCTAACCTATTTTCAGAATTACCATTTAAAAAACCACATTTCAAGCCACACACTTGCATGAGAATCTAAAAAAGCACATTAAGCAACAGTGTAGACTTACGAGTGGTGGCTTCTGCTGCTACCGGCACAGACAGCCCTTCATCATATTCTGTAATAAGTTCTACATTGTAGAGTGTTTTTGAAAAGAGATCAGGAAGAACTGTGCTGGTTTGAGATGGATCCACTTTCACCTGCATAAATAAAGAAGTCAGATTTCTTTCCTGACACTTATTTTTCCTATGCAGTAGAAAGTTCACAACAGCTATGTCTAATATATTAAAAAAATACCCCTGGATATAACTATGCAATAATATGTTTATTTTCAAACCAGCTACACCAAAACATGTTAAACTGGATATATTGTCTGGGATTTTTTTCAAACACCAAAAGAACAAAATTCTATACTTTTCCAACAAACAACTTAAAAATATATGGCACTTTCTTTATTCAATCTGTTTGAGAAGTGCAATGGTAGTCTGGTGTTTGTAGCTGTTCAAACTGGTGTTCTGATATCTGGCGTGAGCATCACATTCATTCAAATCCTGAGTTAACTCAGGCAGCTCCAAAGAGATGCCTCAGAATGTATTTCCATGTGTGATGATGTCATTATGCAAATGAGAAAAATTACATCATTTTCATCATGATATTATGTGAATACCATAAATCACAGCAGAATATGAATTGTTGCATTACAACCCCATTTCCATTGCATCAAGCTGTGGCAAATCAAGTTTTCACTGTGTTCTCTTTTTTTCCTCCCAGTTTATATTACATTGTTTTCTTAATGACTGAATCAGGATCAAAACAAATGCTTTTTTTAATACAGCCTACTTTTGCTTTTATGCTAATGCTCCCTTTTTTAAATTTTTTAAATTTTATTTTTTTGCTATGCAGGTTCATGTACCATCCATTAAGACCTCCCTTTTGCTTGTAATAATAACAGCCTGCTCATCATACAGTATAACCACAGTATCATTAAAGCCAAAGAAACTAAAATTGTTTGATCTTAACATTACAGATCATGGACTTTGGCTCCTATTTATTTTTTAACAATACTTATAAGATGATCCTGCTTTAATATTTTATTTAAGCTATTTTCACAAACAGATTTACCTCTTTTACATCATCTTCTTCAGCTGCTTTATATTTCACTATATAATTACGAACTTTGCCTGGAGCTTGATCCCAATTGACTCTCATGTTGTTGTGAGTGACATCTCTCAGCCTCAAGCGTTTTGCTCCGCTTAAAGGTACTGAAAAATAAACATAGTATTGCCCAAGTTCATAAATATCATTCCTATAAATAAATAAACAAATGAACATGTGGCCAACCTATCTTAACTTAATTTCATTATTAAATTAATAATACATCATTAATAAATTATTATTAATTTAATTTAAGAAACTGTTGCACAGAACTGCAGATGAAGACAAAGTTTTGAAGATAGTATTTTTTAAGGTGTATACAGATATTTCTTCCCTACTGTCACCATTCAAGTAGGTGAGGTTATGTATAATAAGGTCCCTCTTGCAATTCACTTTCAATTTTCTGGGGAAAACATTTCCCAAAAACTGTGCTATCCATGAAAAATACCTATATAAAACCCAGCTGTCCCTGGAAAAGGAATTCTGGTGATTAAGATTCAAGCCAAACCTTGATGCTTTCAAAATACTTCATATGTCAGTATTTTTTTTCAAGAAAAGTTACCTAACCCTTAGAAAGTGTTCAAGTTACCAAATAATGAACCACGCTGGCTGGAGTATCTGGGAAGTGCAATCCTACCAGAACAAAGGGACACTAGTACACTTGTAACTGCTTACAACTGGTAGCAACTATACTACCCCTTTCTCCCTACATGTTTAGAGCCCTACCTTTTCTCTGGAATTCATGGTACTTAAACATTCCAATATAGTAGATGTTATAATTCAATGAACCTCTTTTTAGTTGTATTACTGACAACCAACTCCATGGGACAACTGAAATCTAATACCTTTTTGTCAACATTTGGTTTTCCAGAAATATGGAGTAGACAGGTTATAGGTATACAGATATAAATGAAAAGGAATTTGGTAGCATTTTTTCAGACTAACAAGTTTTCTTAACAGGCGTAAGCTTTCATGAATGCCTTTGGTTTTTGGCTACCATGGACTAAAACAGCTCTCCTCCTACAGGATCTCATAAATCACATTACTAAGGCAACAGACAAAATATTTAAAAATTGGCATTATTCCTACATGTGACTTCCTGAGTAGTGAGTGGATCACTAATGAGGTCGCCAACAGTTGAATGAACCGTTAAAGTATACTCAGTATTTGGAATCAAATCAACCAGCTGTACATCATTCACCGACGCTCCAACCCGCATCTAGGAAAAAGTAAATAAAAAAATAAAGGAAAGAGGCAAAACTTCAAAACAAAAAACAAAAAACAAAATGTTCAGGTAAATGAATTTAAAAATGTTTTCTTAGAAAGCATTTACAATTTCCTGACTTTTGCCATGCTGTACGCCTGCTGACGCATTTGATTTTATACTGTAAGCCAAAATACGTCTCGCTGTTTGGGTTTATGGAAGCAAATCTAAGTGTCTTCCTTCCTTCTCTCTCTCTCTCTCTCTCTCTCTCTCTCTCAAACTAGTTGTTACCTCTTTTTCAGTTGCTGGTATTGTGGCATTGACTGGGTCATATAACAACACATAGCCAGTAGCTCCTTTGACAGGTTCCCACCGCACACGCATCGTGGTTGAAGTGACATCATAAGCATTCAAGGTTCTCACTGAAGGGATTGCCGCTGTAAAATCATAAATATTCACATCAGCTGCTCACATCTACTACATATTTATTTCCTCCTTCATCTCCCAAACATTGGTCATTTCACTTCTTTATGGTAGGATGGAGAACAGCCATTTAATGGGAGGTTGTTGGAGCTTTTAGTTACTGTACTAGGATAATGAAAGATTGCAAAATTGTGACCAACCAATTCAAACACAGCCTATCAGCCACACACACTGACCCATGCAGATTTTGCTATTTGCTAAGGTTTGTAAGAACAGGATAGATGTTAAGTAACTTGCAACTTCTAGTACAGAGATTATCAATTTTCTTGCCACCAGAGCAGCAGGGTTTTTTGTTTTTATTTTTTTTAAAAACTTCCAGTAGTCATGGTTCATGCCTGGTGGCATCATGCTGTTATTGGAATGTGCATGGCCAATTTTTTTAGCCCACCTTAGGACAGTTGGCAATGCTAAAAGCATCCATTTCATCCTGTAACCCTCAACCTTTCCAACAACAGAAAAAATAAAGGTTGAAATTATTGGTGTTCTTTACTCAAATGGTCTGGAAGCCACAGGGGGAAAAAAACAAATCCATGAGGGGAAGGGGAAGAATGGGTAGCTTCATGATGGCAGCAAGTAGAACTTGGATGACTCATCCAAGCCAGTGGCCCGTTTGCAGCTTGGTCGGTAACAAATTGGATAGGCCCTGACTAAAAGATGTAGCATTCCTTTGAGAAGACCTTATCAAATTGTTAGGAACAGTATCTTCCATGCCTGTTTAGGGATCAGGTTGGTAAATGTTGGTCAAAAAAACTATGAAGAGACAATTTTATTAGGTGATCACTTAATGTGTCTGATTCTTATCTTTTACTTAGTTTTTTCAAATCACTCTCCGTTCTATGGTCTGAGCACCAAATTACAGAATATTAGGGTCCCAATATTTTTCTTTTTAAATCCTGGACTCCTTTTCCCCAAGGCAATGAAGACAGGTTAGGAGGTTATCATTTTAAAAAAACGATGTGGCTGATTTATGATTTATGTATCTTCATTCATTCATTCAATTTATATGACCACTCAAAGTGCAATATATTTCTAGGCAGCTAACATCTGGTTAAACGCCACAAACAAACATTTCAAAGCAAAAAATGAATGCACATCACATCTGAGGCCACTCGCATGTCTACTTACCCTCCCCCCAACCCCCCGGAACACTGACTGGAACCGGCCTCAGGAAGGAGAACTACTGCGATCCTGTGCCCCATTCCCGACTCCCTGAACTGCTCCAGATGGATACCATGGTTGATGGTATCAAAAGCCACTGAGAGATCAAGAAGAGCCAGGATGGATGCACCACCACCATCCCAAACTTGCCAGAGATCATCCTCAAGTGCCATCTCAGTACTGTATCCAGGTCTGAAACCAGATTGAAAAGGTTCCAGATCATCTGCTTCCTTTGAAGCTGCAGCCCAACTACCTTCTTAAAAACTTTCCTTAAAAGAAAAGGTTAGAGACAGGACAAAATTTTCAATGCCACTGGGTCCAGCAATGGCTTCTTGAGGAGAAGAAAGACTACTGCCTTCTTATGTGGAAGGGGAATCACCTCCTCACTTAAAGATGAATTTACCACCACCTGAACCCAACAAGTTATCTCCCAGAATGCTTTGACCAATCAGGAGGGACTTGGATCTAACTACATAGATAGCTGCACTTACAGCCCCAAAGACCCTGTCCACTTCCTCAAGATCAGCAGGCTCAGACTCTTCCCAGATAATTTAGTGAGACTGTGCCTCTGTCAACTCCACAGGATCTAGACAGCCAGAATCCAGCTCAAAGAGGATCTGAGGAATTTTACCCAACAGATACCTCAAATAGTCTCACGGCAGCCCTGAAGATGCTCCTTTGGTCTTTCTCTACCCCAGAGGAACCAGGTCACATTGAACAGAGTTACTAGCTGACTATTTGCAGATATGATAAGAGCAGAGAAATAATTACATTTTGCTGGTCTGATCACCATAAGGTAATCTCAGTCTTATCTCTGTTCAGTCAGATACTCTCTTTCACTCTGTTTAATCTCCCAGACTTCATCTGAAAACCAGTGGGCTTCCTGGGGTCCCCAAGTAGTGAGATACTGCACAGGGACCATCATCGCCCCCCCCCATTCCAAGTGGTGAATAAGCCCTCAGTTGAATTGTGTATTAGAGCCTTGGGGCGGGGGGGGGAAGCTTCCTCTGAAACCCAAAAGGATCCGTCAGGCACCTGGTGCAGAATGATTGAATGTGTCTTACCTCTCTTCAGTGGGAAGCAGCTGCAGACTTCATCTGAAAACCAGTGGGCTTCCTGGGGTCCCCAAGTAGTGAGATACTGCACAGGGACCATCATCGCCCCCCCCCATTCCAAGTGGTGAATAAGCCCTCAGTTGAATTGTGTATTAGAGCCTTGGGGCGGGGGGGGGAAGCTTCCTCTGAAACCCAAAAGGATCCGTCAGGCACCTGGTGCAGAATGATTGAATGTGTCTTACCTCTCTTCAGTGGGAAGCAGCTGCAGAGAATTCCAAGGCAAATCAAAAAGTGAACTGACCATGACAAGGGACTGAGATTAACTCCCCCTACTTCCAGATGCCCTGAGACCAAAACCAGTTCTAACATGTGATGCTGTGTTGGGCCCTCAATGATCTGGTCAGGTCCATGGTGGCCATGAACTCCTAATCCACCTCTGACTCTGCACTCAGGGAAGGCAGATGAAAGTTCATAAGTCTGGGAAACTCCACTACCAACCTAGCCAGTGTCAAGCAGCTCCAACAGGGAAGCTGCTACATAGCCGGGAATCTGGTGCAGTAGCAGCAGTCCCATCCGATCCCCAGAACTCCACAAATGTGGTTTCACATCTGGTGATCACCCAGAGTCATCCCTCTAAAAGCCACCACAGTCTCCCAGATGACTACAGACACTCAATCAACCATGTCTTGGGGTGGCAGCTAGTGCAACACTTAAAACCCAGTGGGCAAATTTCTGAAAGAAACACTCCACCCCCTCCCTCTTATCCAGGTCTCTTTGGGACAGAACTCAGAGGGTCGCAATGCGAAATCAGTATAAGAAAACAAGATCCACCCTCTGTCTCCCACCATATCTCTCTCTGCCCATCACCACCACAATGCTATGGCCTGTGTCTTTCCCCCAACAGACCATCTAACACTCAGATAACATAACACCCAAGCAGCTGGCTGATCTGGCTATCTGGGTCACTTCTGCCCTAGCACTCAGCAATCTAGTCCCAGTCTATCCCTCCATCTCTCACTCAGAGGGACAGCAGGCAGCTCTACCTCAGTCACTACCAGTTCAGCAACACCTCCCACCAAAATCTCCTCAGTCCATTCCCTTCCACAACCAATTTCCTCAGATGCCATAGTCAAAAATCAAAGGCGATATACTGCCAATAGATGAAACAAACAGCATACATTACTATTCCTCTGACTCCTGCCACTACATGTAGGAGAGCAGATGGCTGCTGCTCAGTATTACCACCTTCAGGATAGCCACAGAATTCAGGTTTGCCCTCCAGCATAACTACCAGCCCAATTCTGCTTTTTCTTACCACCAGCACCTGAGTGCCTGTGCACTCCAGGACACTGAGACCAGACTCCTCAGGTTACCACTAAGCAGAGGACACCACAGCTGGGATGTCAAACTCCACCGAACCTGCCATGCCACCAACCTCCCAGTTAGGAATTGCCACCAGCTCAACTGAATTTCCAACAGCTGATCGGCAGTGCCTCCAGCCTGGCACCGAGTGCTGCTGAACAGTTGATTGTTGATGTTGCTGGTTTGGCTACTCTGCTACCATCTCTCCAGTCAGGGTTGTCAGCCATCCAACTCCTGATCCACCACAGTTTGCTGAGCACAACAGAACAACAGCCAGACTGCAGATCAGAGAACATCCTAAGATCCTCCAGACCTTCCTCGACTCTGCACAACTTTTACATACCACCTTCAACATTCTTCACAACCCATCTCCTAATGTCAGTCATTGACCAAAAAAAAAACAACTTACATTTCTTTTTGATATTATCGGCATGTGTTAACAATTATTCAATATCTCAATTACTTTGGAATATTCACTTACATGTTGTTTCGGTCCCTTTTAATGGTTCACTATTAGTGCCTTCTACTACAGAAAATACATTCACAACATATTCTGTTTCAGGCTTGAGGCCAGTGAGAACAGTAGTAGTCTCCGAACGACTTACATAGACCTGAATAAAAATAAATAAAAGAAAACAATAGCAGATGTAATGGTACATATTTTACAAATATATGTAAAATATACATTGTTATTATCTTGATTCAGGAACTAAATAATTTAAAATAGAACTTAAGTGGTCCCTGTCATTCTGATAATAGTATATCTGATGCCAAAAGCTATAAAATATAAATTGTTTAGAGAAATAAGGCAAGTAACTCCTTAACCCCTTTAGGGTAAGTTTCACTGCATCATGGCTGAAAACTATCTGGAACATGCTATCTCAGAAGACAGGCAGAAAAGTATCAGAATGTACTACCAATACAGTATATAAATTGACTATCATCTCTCTAAAACAAGGATTTAAGGGCTGTTTTGCATATATACTGTACTGAAAGACTAGCTAATTGTGGCCCCAGAAATAGGAATATGAATATACAGTATATGTACACACACACACACACACACACACATTTAGAAAATTGCAATATACAAAAGTATACTAATAATTATATATTATAAATGTATATACATTAGTAGGAAAGAGGGAGAGAGAATGTTTTAAATGCAGTAAAAGCTCTGTACTGTATGCTTGTCTTCAGCTACAGAGTTTTTTTCCTCCCATTGCTTTTTCCCTCCCCCTCCTCTCCCGGGGCCTCTTCTGATCATGTATATTATTTGCATGTGGTTCAAAAGGCCTCTGTTAATACTTCTAAGCCTTCAGGTCTGGATGTAATAGCATCCAGACAATTCTGGTAGGATGCAAATTGCCTAGTTGCCATATGGAAGGTATCATTTTTGTATAATCAATTCCAGCACTAGTCAGAGGACCAACTTAAGGACAACCCCATTATTGAAAAAATGAGTGTTAAATTAATGCCTATAACTAATCAATCCCTTCTGTTTAAGAGCAATCTCCCCTTGCTAAGATTGGACTGGTTAAGCGATGCACATGAGGACTCTCCTCCAAGGAAGACAGGAATGTTGTTATTAGTATTATGTTGCCAGAGAGGCCAGGGCCACAATTCCTAAAGTGGGTTTGATGTGTGAATTGGGAAGAGCGTAAGAGGAAAAAACTTTGCAGAACATCACAGTACAGGTAGTCCTTGGTTAACAATGGTAATTGGGACTGGAATTTCCATCACTAAGCAACGTGGTCATAAAGTGTGACGTCACGTGACCACATTGCTTAGTGACAGCAACCCTGGCACTCCTCATTGCCATCATTAAGCAAGGATTGCGAGTCATTAAGTGAGTCCCAAGTGGTTTTCAAGCAGGCCGGCAGGCAGGTAAGGCATGGTGTGAAGTGCAGCGCAAGCATGGCAGGACGAGGGGGTGCTGCTGCTGAGTAGGGGAGGGTTTGTGCGACTTATTGGAGCGACTTGCAACCTTCCCTGCCAGCTTCCCCATTAACTTTGCTTGTGGGAAGATGTCAGAAAAGGTCACAAATGGTGATCATGTGACCACAGACACTGCAACCACAACTGCAAGTGTGAGCAGGTTGCCAAGCGCCCAGTTCATGATCATATGACCACAGGGGTGCTGGGGCAGCCAGAATTTTGAGGACTGTTCATAAGAACCACTTGTTCAGCCCCATTTAACTTTGAACAGTTGCTGAATGAGTGGCCATTAAACAAGGACTACCTGTACCTCATTTTGCCCTCTAGGCCCCATGAATGGAGGGATTGGGATTTTTTAAAGAGGAGAAATGAGTACTTAAGTATCTTAAAACACAACTAAACACCACCCTGAGGGAAAAAAGGACAAAAGGTTTAGCTCTGGCCACTATAGGAATGCTCTAAAGACCACATGTAGCCTAAGATATGCATCTATGCTATAAAATATGGTGTATTTCTTCTTCTAGCACCCTATCCAGCACAGCAGCCCCAGTCATTCTGAACCACTATTAGTAAGATATTACTAATGCCTTTTTCTGTTTAATTTAGTACTATGTAATAATGATACATTTTGCTGAAGTGCTTTGAGGATATTTTAAGACTTACTTACCAGCTATCAATATATTTTACCATATATTTCAATTACAAACAATGAATCTGTTTCCACTGGAGTCTACTATTGTACTTAAGATGATATGAAAATGATATTTGTTGATTAACATGAAATGCACATATATGAACAGTAGTAAGTGACTGATGAACATCCTTTTATGAACCTATTCCAACATTTAGGAATCTAAACTAAGCAAAATAAATACAAAAAAGAAGAAATAAAATAGAGCCTCCAAATCTGACCTCCTGTGGTGTGCCTCCTTGGACAGGATAATATTCAACTTTGTATCTATCAACACTCTCAACAGGTGCAGTCCAAGACACTCGGAAAGAAACAGGTGTCACTTCAGAAGTAACTAGATTGGTTGCCGGCAGTGACAAATCACCTGTTGTGGGAATAAACAAATGGAATTTAGAGTTAGGAAGTCTTGTTTAGAAGACTTACCAAAGATGAATCACAATCAAAGTAATAAAATATGTCAAGAAGGTTTTCCTTAAGTGCATAAGAACACTCTTTCCTATAAAATGTTTATTATTTAAATATTAAAACCATTCACTTATTGAATGGAGCTGTATCTGATCCACATTCATAACAGAAGTTATAGGAAAACAAATTGCAAACAATGAGACAAAATAAAGATCTATTCTGCGTGTATGGAAAATATTTTAAAAACTACATTGATTTTAATGTTAACAATGTTATTAAATTCAATGTTAATAAATTAAATTCATATTTGATATAATTGCTTTAATGGCACCTTCATGCAAGTACTAACATTCAAACTGTGGCAATTACACAAGAGATTGTCACTGTGTAACTGAACTAAAAACTGCACTGAAAGGCTGCAAGCACTTATATGGATGTGTAATTACCACAAATACCATGCTGCAAGTTACATATTATTTTCTTACATATTCCTGGGCATAGGAATTGTTTTAACATTGACTTTACCCTTGGCTAACATAAGTACCCAACAGGCACTCATGAGTATCTATCCTGATGAGGAAGAATACTCCTTCCTGAGGACATGTTCTCGCATCAAAGAAGCCAGTGCAGGACAACTACTTCCAGCACTGAAAAAGTAGCATTAGAAACGTGGGTCTCATAGAAGGCATCAATACTGCACACACTCTCATCCCTTCCTCCTAGAAAGTGATATTTGTATGTTTGGAGGTATAGGCTATTGCATGGTATTTCTAACATTATTTGAAAAGTGCAGAAAGGACCCCTCCTGAAGTAGGAAACATTTTGGCCCAGCCTTCTTTGGAAAGAAGGTATGTCTACCAACAGAAACAGAATTAAGAGGCAGGATAAAATCCTGATAGAGACTGAAATATAGTAAAGGGATATCTATTTACATTTTATTGAGTTTAAATTTCCAGGGTCATATGAATAGCCTTCTAAGATACTAAAGGAAGTAGCTGAATCTTTATATATTATCTCTGAGAAATTCTGGAGAACAGGGAACATGCCAGATGACTGGTGGGAGATGCCTGGGTCATTGAAAGGAAAAAGGGTGGAAAGGTATGCATAGCATTACTTCTGGAATTCTTTCCAAACCCTTAATAGCAATGCTGTGAGTCACATGATCAGGAGGGAAGAGGCTAAAAATGGAAGAATGACCAACATGCCAAGCTCCCTTTAAGATGCATAAGGGGAATTTTTTTCTCCACAGCTCCCAGCCTGATCTAGTCCATCTTTGAACCTGATCTTTCTTCTGCTGACTTCTTCCCCCTACCACTACCACATAAAACATGGCCCCATTCTGTTCAGTTTTCAGTTTTATGATGCTGACAAATGAAAAGAGTCCTGATTTCCAATACATAATTTGTTTCCAACATTCTGTTGGAATGTTGGGCTGAAAGTCAGATCCAGGGACCTATCAAGCAATTGGTATGGGGCAGACACCTGAGGTGAACAGTTCCTAAAGAGAAGTATCTGTAAGAACCTTGAAAATAGTACAGTAATTATCAGAAGTCAAAATGGACTTCTCAAAAACTTTTTAAAAAAAATCAGATAACTTCCTTAGTAAATTATCACTTGACAAAGTATCCCAAGCTAGTTAAATATGGGCCAGATTGCATGAACATTAACATACATAGCTTGCTTGAACATTGTATTCAGACAATACTTATCAACAAATCCTCATCAAACGAGAGGGTGTTATCAAGTGGGGTGCCACAAGATTTGGACACTCTGCTTTCCAAGATTTTTATTAATGACTTGGAGGAGGAGATGGAGGGGACTCTTATACAATTTGCAAATGATACAAAATACAGGCAAGACAGTGAATACCCCAAAAATGGAAATAAAAATTAGTATTATTTTAATAGGGCAGAAAAACAGACTGAAAATAATACAATGAAATTTCACAGACACAAATGCCAATTTATTCATTTAGGAGAAAAACAACAACAACAAAGGCTACATTTCCTGACAGTGAGTGTGGTGTAGTGGTTAAGGCATTGAACTAGGACCAGAGAAATTCATGTTTAAGCCTATATCCCTATTCCTTAATCATGGAAATGTATTGGGTTGGTTTGCACCAATCATTCTATCTATGTATGCCACCTTGAGTTCCTGAAGGAAAGGCAGAATTTAAGACTAATAAATTAAAATAAATAAATATGAAATCAAGTCAGTGTACAGATATAGAATAGAGGCTACCTAGCCTGGAAGAATTGTAAGAAAAAAATGGAATCTACTGCTACAAACTCAATATGACTCAATATTGTGATCTAGCTGCAAAGCAGGTAAATATTATTTTAGGATGCTTCAACAATATCTAAATCACAAGGAGTAATAATTCCACTTTATTCTGTGCTGGTGAGAGCCTGCTTCAAAGAGGTGTCCAACTGAGGACACCACTCTTTGAGAAGATTTAGAGGTGGAAACTAACACTGAGCATCACATCGACCTTAATAGCCTTAATCTTCCATTTCAACTCTATGATTCTAATGAGACAAGGCATACTAATAAAAATCGTTCTGTGATTGCACATTTTGTTTTGTGTTACTTCCCTAGATATATATGAAATACATATTGCATGCCAAGAGAAAAAAAAATGTGAAAAGAATTGCATTCCTATATACACCAGAGAAATGGATGTTCTGTTCAGAAGTGTTCAGACAACATTCCAAGAAAAATTAAGGAGACATCTTTTTTTCCTAAGAACAAAATAAAACTTGAAGGGGTAACATACCTGATCCTTTCACACTATTGCACAAATTATCAGTGAGGGTATCAACGATATTAACAAGAAGGTTAAAATCTTCAACGTTAAAAGCATGGGTGTCATCTGGATCACTTGCAATCTGCTTCAGTTCATTCACATCAGCATTTTTAATACCTTAAAAACCATGAGATAATGCATTTTAAGTAACTAGGTTTATTTGTTGATTGTTTTAAAACTCATCTAAAGATGTGCAGATTATATTCCAACCCCTTTCTATATAGATTGCCTCTTCACTTGATACTCACCCACAGCATAAAGCTCCACTCCCTGATCCTTCAAACTCTGTGATGGGTCATTTATGTCATCCTGTGACTTGCCATCAGTTATGAGGACACCAATTTTGCGAGCACCAGGCCTCAGGCCAGCTTCAGCCTTAAAACTGTTTTTCAAGATGAAGCTCAAAGCCATTCCTGAAATCACACATGGACACACATAAAATGAGGAACTCATTATTTACTGGCCTTTTTTTTTTCAGCTCAGAAGGTAAACCTCCAAAAAATATTATAGCCTAATTTACTAGCAGACACATCAGCTTCTTCCTGATCTATTTTGAAGCCTTTTATAATTTCTTCTCACTAGAACCATATTTCTACCCTCACGAGACTAAAGGTAGGATATCTGTCCCTGGCCCATTCACAACAGAAGAAGCAAAACCTCCAATGCAATTACCAAAGCCTCTTGCTCCTAGTTGGGAGGCGTTGTAGATTGAGATGGTCAGTGGATCTCTCACTCTCTTTATAGGATAGGAAATGTGGAGGCTGGAGTACCTAAGGCACTACACACCATTTTCAGGGACCCACATTTTTCTTCCTTATTCATATTACTTCTGACTTAATCATTCCTTTTGCAAAAAGGGTGCTGCTTGAGGAAATGAGATTACATCTGAAAATGTTTTAAGTTAGAAAAGCTGATATATTTTGACAATATGTATTCTGTAAGTTGGTCCTGTAGGCTGCTATATGCTGCTTTTTAGAACTGATAGCCATATTATAAACTTTAATTTTCTTTTACTGAGAAATCAGATCCTTCACTGATATTATTTCTGTATAATGTTTATATACAAATTGGCTCCTTGAGTAAAAATGGGGATCATATCTCACTTCTTCTATTACCCAGGCCATTTGTATTTGTTTTTCTAATGAAAGCTACCCCCAGAATCATCTAGAAAAGGCTGATGCCATTTACGAAATTAGGCTCAGCCTAAAAATAACTAACTGTGCCCTGCTGTTTGGATTTAGTCAGGTAGCTGAGGCTCCTCCTCAATTCCCTCATCAGTTTTTATGTTCATTACTACTTTTGTATTGTTCCTAGTCAGTGAAATTGGTATCTTCAATCAAATCATATTTACCATGCTTATAGAGATTATCACTCCTATTCTTTCCTTAGGAAGAATGGTACTTCTCTTGTTTCTATTACACTTCCATCGAAAATGCATTTAAGAGTTAGTTCTACAAGATATTTCAGTTTATCAATCTACATGCCTGATATAGAATATGTGTAACTTCTTGGTCCACCAGATAAATGATGCAGTAGTATTCTTCAGGATCATACAATTTTGTGAGTCATATTTTCCAGTATAAAATCAATAGCAAAAGGCCTACCTGTTAGTGTGTTGCCTCCCTTATACGGCAAATTGGCCACAGCCTCCAATAAACTGTCTTTGGTTGAATGGGCATTGAGGTTCCATTCTGTTCTTGGATCTCCGCTATACTGTGCAAGACCTGGGGAGAAAATGTAGTGCAATTACAAAATGTCTTCAAATAGCATTAACTCAAAATGTTCCAATTCACTTCAAAACTTACCAATCTGCACTTTGTCTGGACCAATATCAAATACTTCAACAATGCGAGCAATGAAGCTCCGGATTGTTTTAAAATTCGTTCGACCGATGCTCCAGGAACCATCCACCAGCAATACAATATCTGCCTCTGTCCTGGTTTTACATTCTAGGCCTATTACAGCGATCAGAATAAATCTGAGTTAGTTACAAGCAACTTTATTCTCCAGTCCTATCCTAGAATAGACATAATGAGGATTTTAATTAACTGAAGTTCTTCTATGTACTTTGAAGTCTATGATCATTTCTTTTTCTTACTAACAATGAAAAAAGATGTCTGAGGTTACATGAATTAGTTTAAAAATATTTAATAGTTTAAAAATATTATTGTCATAAGTATTCTGATTAGACTGGATGTAAATACAGTTAGAATCAATTTCATAATAGAATTATGAACCCTAGACTTAAGTAAACCTAAGTAAGCAAGCAGTGATTACTTCTGTATATTCATCAGTTAAAATCAAGAATGTTTACTGTCTAAATGATAGCTGTTAAGCAACTATCTGGAGAGATCAATATATATGCATAATACAGCACATTATCAGCTATATATGTTAATTAATGCAGATGGTGCAGATATTTGCACATTTAAATTACAAGAGGAAGCACAACACAAATAAGATAACAGAAACAAACACATAAAAGAATAGAAGTGACAAAAACAGACATTTATAAAAGTATTAAATGCTTAGAAAGAAAACAATGCTAGGAATTTTCAGTGCGTGGGAATAAAAATAAGAATTCATTTTCTATATGTTGGAAATGACAGTGCATTTATTGCAAAGCAAAAACAACATATGTATTTAAACAATCCTTTCAACATTGTAATTTTTAAAATATATTCTTCCTCCTTTGTGCTCTGAAGATCATGTTATCAGCTGCAAACATTCTGGCTTCATGCCACCACAGCTTCTGGTCTTTACATGGAAGGAATCCCACTGAGTAAAATCAAGCACACTCATCAGAGTTAAGATGGTTTCATCTATGTTTCACATCATTGCTTGAATACTTCAGATTTATGAGAACAGCTAATTCCAGGTACCTGAAGATTTAAAAGCATGACTTTCTTCTTCATAAAACAACAGATTCTGATCTTTAATCAATACAAATGTAAATCAGGTTTACAAATTATGCATTTTCTAACCCTGGACCACAATCAAAAAGCGGTATCTCTATCCCATGGCACTCCACGTGTTAATGCCATGGGAGTGATATTGGGAATGGAGGATACTAGAATCAGTGCTGAAATGGCAGACCAAAATAGCCCCAAAATATATGCAGAATTATGCACGCAAACAGACTTTCCTTAATTTGGAAGGTTTCCCGAATGGAAAAATCAATGCTACCACTTACTATAGAGATTTCTACTTTTCCATTTGAGAATTCTGGCAGATAAACTCGATGGTTTTACATAAAGGTAGCACACTTTACAATACTGTTGTATGTGGATTCTTACTATCACAATGTTTCTATAAAAGCTGTTACTTTACTATATTTATTAAAAAGAAAATAGAAAAAATTCTTAGGGCAAGGACATACTGTACTTCACAGGAATGAACAAAAATTGCAGTAATCAAAATATAAAATATGGCTAGTCAAAATGAAGCACTTTTAATGTTCCGCTTATTTCAAGCATTTGCTTAAATGAACCTCTACGACAACATGGATGCTTCCAGAATCCCTATTCTAAAAATGAACATATAATAGTATCTAAATCTAATGTTGGATTTCAGGAATGAGTTAGGGACTCTGCTGATGTACTATTCACCTAGTGGTCCAGCAGCATCTTAATCTGAGTTTCAGGGCTGGTGTTGGAGTCCCCTAGGTTATTAGCACCTGGGGACTTCAATCTTCATGCCCTTGGCATGGGGTCAGGCGTACTTCAGGAAGTCCTGGCTTCTATGACATCCATTGGCTTGTCCCAACTGATTTCAGGTCTGACCCATGTAAGAGGACACATGCTGAATATGGTTTTCACCTTAGACATTCTGAAGCATGTCCTGAAAATAGAGGAGACAGTCCTTTGTCATGGTCAGATCTTCCTGGTCACCCTGAGGCTAATCACTACAACTGACCTCTGAAGAGCAATGGATTGGTTAGAATGATCCACCCAGATACCTTACGGATCTGGCGTAACTCATTCAGGCCTATACAGTTGTGGATGGGAGATGTTACCGAGACCCCTTACTCAATATCTGGAGGCTGTAAGAGTCTGGATAGAACAAGATGAACTGGGGCTGCTCTTGAGGATTACCTGGAAACTTCAACTGATACAAAATTCATACATGGTAATGGATACGAGTCAATTCAACAAGTTGATACCTTTTTGTGGGTGTTGCACTCATTCCCAATAGATTTACAAGTACAATTCAGGATTCTGGTTTCGACCTATAAAGCCTTGCAGGACAAGGGTGCAGGATATCTATGTCTTCTCCAAGTCGACTCTGACCAGCCTGCCTGCTCTGTTCAAGAGGGGATGTTCTGTATTCCTTCAGTTCAGGAGATGAAGGGAGCAGAAGGGCCAGGAGCAATGCTTCTGCTAATTAATGCTAATGCTGCCAAAACCCTCTGGAATATGCTTCCCCTGTGACCAGCTAACTTTCACTTCAGTCAACATTTCAAAAGCATGAAAAAATGGCTTTTGTGACATACTTACACCTTTCTACCAAACAACAGTGGGCTATTTTAAATTTTATTGATATTTTTAGAGAAATTATGATGTTTACAGTTTTTATTATTTAACCTGTAAACCATCTAGAAATGTGTAGTTGCATAGAAATATTGGAAACAAACAAATAAATGTTCTGATACAATCAATCGTTTGCTAGGCTTGTATCCAAACTGTCTTTTTCAAGGGAAGAAGCTTTTTATCAGCATAATATGTCCTTATTTCCCTAAGAGGTTACCTAGGGAACCTAATAAAAATATATTTGGTCCATATTATTTTATGTCCTCCAATGTTGTAAACAATAATTCAGTAGTGCTTATTTCCTACCAAGTGGGTTTCTTCAAGCACTTAATTGTTAGTTTAAGCCTGGATCCAAGGAAGTACACAACTTGTTCCAGGACCTAACATTTGTTTTGGACTTGCATTTCTTAAAAGTGTGTGTGTGTATGTGTATGTGTGTGTGTATCCATAAAGACAAACACACACTTGCCATATATGACAACCACTTAAAAATTCAGTAACCATTCAAAAGCAATTTTTAAATGACATATGAAATCTACCACTCAATTGGAAAAAGAAAAAAATAGATGTACTAAAGTTTCTGATGTTTCTACATTAGCTATTTGTATACTGCTGATTTTTATTTCTAAATCCAGATATGGTTTTTCAATTTTAATAAGCACACTTATTAAGGAGCTGCACCAAAATTTGAACTTTCAGTGCAGCTCTTTTAAAGAGAATAATATATTTCAAACTCCTTGCTGGAGACAGTATAGTATTTTTTTAGTTCCTCCAAAGAAACGTATGTGGTGTCAATATGGAATTCTTACTTATTCCAGATGCTGCAACTATAGCTATGGGAATTAGATCACTTGGAATACAGTTATAAAGAAGGATGCAATTGACAACGTATGAATAACTGATAGGTTTACAGTATGTAGCTTGTAAAGTTCATGTAAAATTAGCTATCTGTATGAAAGAGAAACTTTTAATAAAGATGGATACCTAATGGATAACCCTCAAAATGATTTAAAAATCAAGGAGCATCCTCATAAAACACAGACCCTTTGTTGTAAAATTCCTGAGAATCAAAAAATGATAGCAGTTAATTGTGTTGAAATACTTTTCAAATGCAATATACTCAAATGTCCTGCTAAAAGCACCATGCACTGTTTTCCTCATTAAAATTATATTTACCTGTAGGTAATAATGGCACAACTGGAATATCTGCAAGTGTTGTCTTTTCTTCTCCAATCAGAGGCATACTTTCACCTCCTTCAAACATTCCGAATACATTGACTTTATAAGAAGTGTCTGCCCTGCATGATCAAAACATATACATGTACTGTATACATTAAAGCAAAATGGTTTATGCAGATTATTTCACTCTGTTTTTATCCAAGCATGTTTAGAAGTTTAGAACAACATATATACCTAACCCTACCCCCCCCCGACACACACACTTTATCTCCCATAAAATATGGTTAGGCTAGGAAAGAGGGACTCAACTAGTTGAGGAAATCTGGGGTCTGAATAGGGATTTGAATCTGAGTTTCTTTATTCCTAGTCCAGATGCTCAAACCATTATACCATAACAGGTCTTCCTCAAATTAACTTTTAAAGAATAAGAGGGAATAAGTGGTAGGTCTTCTTATACTTCTGAACTTGTATGGGATGACTATATTGCAGCACATTACAGCCCATTATAGTTCAATAGGATAGTATTATATTTCAATTGTTCTAATAGGACAATTATATTCTAGCCATCCTATTAAACATGTATATCATCCAGCAAAAAGGTTCAGAGTCCTAAGACTCATTCTCATCTTTCCAGAAGCCTTCTAGTGAAACTCTCAAGTATTTCACTGAATGATTTCAAGCCTGCAGTTCTGCCTTCAGTGACTAAGGTAGCTTACAAAATAGCTGTTTAAAAAAATCAGATTGGTAACATTAAGGTGGGAATGGATTTCAATAAATATTGCTTACATTTTTCTCCATAACAAGAAAATATTGAAAAAGAAGAAAGTTATGATCAGCATACCTGAGCTCCTCCAATACAACTGTATTGTCATATGGCCCAACTACTAATTCTCCAAGATGTCTGTTTTCTCCAGTTGGATGGAAAGTTACTTTGTACCCCTTAACTTCCCCAGGGGCTGGCTCCCAGGTTACACGGAAACTTGACTTTGTAGAATCTGAAGTCTGCAGATTTTTGGGAGGTTTAAATGGAGAAGCTGCAAAAGTCAAACAATACTCATTGAATCACATGTGTGCTGTATCCACTGGATAAATGCTTCAGGGGCACTATATGTATCCCGTGAAACAAACAGCAGCTTTGAAATTTTACTGCGTCAGATCCAATACCGTACAAAAACATGTTTGCTTATGTTATGGTATTCACTTCTTTTCCTTTCAGGGCCTCAAAATCTCTTAAGTCAATTTTCTGAAGTAGAATTTTAAAGCATGCAAAGAAAGCTGGAGAGGAAGGGGAGTTGCCCCTATCTTGTCTTACAGATAAAAGCAATTTCATCAATGAAGTAACTTAACTGAATCCATACATCCAGAAAAAATTCTCTAGTTATTCCCAGATACTTTATAGATAATTTATTATTTCTGCTGCTGCCTTTAAAGATGTAGTAGCCATTTTCCAAAAACAATAACACAAATTTAAAAAAGAAGCAATTTCAAAACAAGTATGGAAACCTAGCTACTTAACAATTGAATGGTCATTTGATGACAAATAGTTGAATCAGTATTTACTACCAGCTTGCTTGTCTTCATGAAGGCTCACTGGAACAAAGCTTTTTTTTGCCCACATTACAAATATTAAATTAAGACAGCAAAACATGAGCAACTGTATATGCTAATTAATGTTGTTTCAAATGGACTAAGATCTAAATTTATTTTTCAAATTTATACAGAAATGCACATCTCTGTGTGTATATGTGTGTTTGTGTTTGTGCCTGGAAACAGGATGACACCTCATACCTCTGATGAAATGTGCTATAATTCAATAAGGTTATGCCTTAAATTTATTTCTGAGGTACCAAAAATCTTGTATGGATTGTCACTTTAGAAGCAATTAATTATTCCCAGATTACAACAGCAAATCTTTAGGACACTTTAAGGTTGGTCAATACTAACTTTGCATAAGCAACAAGCAGCGCAGCAAATAAAGATTAAAAGGCATTGGAGGTAAGGTACAAAATAAGCAAGCATTAAGTTCCTTCTTAAGTCAATTGTTGTTTCTGTTTCAACACTATCCCTTATGTGCATGGTTTTTTGCTAAAAAGGCAGTCATTCAATCTCAGAAAGCAAAAGCCAAGGATTTTGGTAAGGGATGAAACAGAAACATTATTGCCTTTTAAACTCCCGAGCAGAAAGTGCTTTCAGGTGCCAAGGACTATATTTAGGATCTTAGGGAAGAAGAGAATAACCACAGATTGCTCAGAATATAACTCCAAGATCCTATCAAATTTCTGTTCTTATACAGAATCAGCCTGAAAATACTTCTTGTAATCTCTTCTAACTACAGCCTCTGAGGCAACAATGAGAACTCCACATAAGAAGTCCCAAGAGCACCAGATAGTAAGACTAATTGTAAGAGATTGTAGGAGCTGAAGTCCAGCAACAACTAATAGACCAAAAGTTCTCTAACTCTTCTCTGAAGGATCAGCATCAGATTTAGTACATTGTTCTATAAGAGATCTTGTACTGGACTTCTATCCATAGATTATACTTCAATTCAAATACATGAGAAAACTTGAGATTCTCATATTTTCTCTTGTTTTCCTGGTAATCAAGACAAGTTGCAAATTAAATTAATTATGTCACAGTCTTAGAACGGGGCTATCAGATCTAGGCTGCAAATATCTGGAATGCTAAACGACAGCCACAATACAGAAAGCTCTCATTTTTTGCCGCCTTCTAATGGTCATTTGAATTTCTGCAGACAAGATCTAGTAGCCCTACTTTAGAAGTAATTTACTGAGCCACTTAAAAATCTTTTTGGTTAGTTACTCATTTCTTTTACACAGTTCCTAACAGTGCCAGTTCATGGGGATATGGTGCTCCTAGGCCACATTGACTGATGGCACCACCTCCCACCAATGCAAAGTTTTGCTTTTTTTAGAATTATTTAGAAGAAGGAGTGGCATCAGTGCCCCCTAAGCTTTGGCACCCTAAAGCCAGCCCTGGGTCCTAGTTATAGATTTTGCACTATCATTCCTTAATTTATAAGTCTGGAATAGTGGGATTTCCCTTTCCAGTGATAGAGAAATATTTCCCCCTTAACTCTAGAGATGTATTAAATGCTGGTTAACAGTAGAATCTGCTCAAAAGGTTCTTCTTCCATGCACAAAGCCTATGCCAATTATTCAAACTATCCTTCAGGATCTATTTCTCAAACCCACAAAGTAGCCACTGCCCATATATTTTCCTAGCATTTCTGGTAGAAGCATCTTCCAGCATGCGCAAAAGACTACAGGAAGGCCTTAACACAGCCATGTAAGCCTATGAGTGCCTGTGACTGCTTCCCAGTTTTGATGAACGGATGTACTGTGCAAGCCTAACATACCCATCTTTTCTAGGTGAGGCATGGAATCAAACACCCTTCTGAAATTAAGCCCATGTATAGTATACTACTGAAATTCCATATAAACAGCAGAAAATCCAAGAAACTAAGTGCCCCATCAGCAGCAACAGCAGCTTCCAACATTATGTGACTGCTCAGCTAATGTGAAATAAGATGGGCAGAAAGAGCACACTGAAAAAAAAGACACAAGGCTGATTCAGAATTTGGGCCAGAAAGATTCCTTATTACTGCCTCATTTGCTGTGTATTATTGTGTACCATCTTCTCTAGTCCTCCATCCTACCAACTATGATTAACTGAAGATTAACCCAAGGATCAGTATAGTCCTTGAATTGCTTGCAAGGACAGACGATTTATACTGCATCTGTGAAGGCCAACTCTAGCACAACCTAGATAGGAGAAATGGCAGCATTTCCAGGCAGCTGGTAGGTAGGGCACATATTTAACAGCAGCTTAAATAATAAATGAGCTTTTAAAAATAAACATGCATTTAAAATAACATATTGCAATCTCTTAAACTAGGAACTTTTAGACATGTTGTAAACTTACATATTTTGGCTACAGTAATCTAGCATACACACATATATAATTTTTTTAAAAATCTGCACCTGTTGTTCCTTCGCCTTTTCTGTGTTTTCCTTCACCAGTTTTATACATAGGAATGACCGTAATGTCATAAGTAGTTAGAGGCTGGAGACGTTTCAGTACTGTGCTGGTGCTGGTGGGAGGCACTTTTGCAACTATTTGTCTTCCTCCTCTACGGGGTCGGTAAACCACACGATAGTTGGCAACTTTTCCAGGTGCTGGTTGCCAAGTGACTCTCATTGTGGTCTCTTTCTCATCATCTACTGTAATGGTCCTTGTATCAGGTGACGCTTTGAAGTGTTAAATGAAAAATTTAAAAATGTTATTGGGTTTTTCAAAACTTCATTTATTCTATAAAGGATTGCACCAAATTGTCTACAAAGTAACTCAAGACTACAGTTACACCATTCTGTATACATGACCTGCTTCCTGCATGTCCAAGGAAAACACACACACACAATAAATGTGAGGGGAGATAAATGTATTCAGAAAGCACCGCCAAGTTTAAGGAGGTCCACAATTCTTCCGGGATTTGTATTTACTGAATTTGAAGCCATCCACCAAGCAATGTCTTCCACAGTATTTTGAAGATGGATCCCTCATATCTATAACATTTCAATGTTTCTTCACATTTGTACTTGGTTTTCCCTTCCCCCCCAAAAAGCCCTTCTCTGCTTCTCATGATTATAACTTTTTAAAAGGTAAATAAGAACATGATATGCAAGATTACTTCTCTCCAACATCTTGACCCAACACTTTCCATTTACACAGAATATGTTGTTTTACTCTTCTTTTATTCCACACAGAACACCATTTCCTGTTTCCTGGTTTCAGAGCAGTAAAAGAATCGGTACTAGGTGCCACTGTTAATTACCTCAGCACTGCTAGACCAGTCAGCTTTCCTGATGGGACCATCAAACATCAAAGGCATGCACAAACCTGAACTTTCCAGCCCTGAACATCTGGAAAGTCATGAATAGAAATAACAGGAACTAGTGATCAGAATATAAGAGCAGAAGGGGGATAGTTCTACCTGCCAAATCTCAATTTCCTAACTTCAGTATGCTGTTCAAGCACACCCACACATAAACATACACAGGCATTTCTCCAAAATACTGCAATCCTGTCTCATCAGTCCTTACAACAGAAGCCAGCTAACCAGAACAGCACATTGTAGTTTCATCAAAAACATGGGCAAGCTTCAGCCACATCAAAGATTGAGGTTAATCTAATCATGGAAATATTAATCAGAGCTGCTCTAACCCACTTAACTTCCACTTCTAGTTTCAAAGATTTAAAAGATATTTAATGGGTAGGAAGTATAAATTAAATCAGGATTAAACTACATTTTGAAGGTGCATCTTAATTTTAAAATGTGCAACCTTTCTTCCTTTATTTTGAATGTTACATCTATCTCTTCAATTATCTCTAAAAATACTCCTTTTTAGTTATAACAATTTGAAATCTTTAAATTATAGGATATTAGTGATTCTTTCTTGTTCCACTTGCTATGCCACATTTATATTAAACTGCTGGAAAAGATAACCTAGATTTATGAAAGCTTAATATCACAATATGCAGCTGACCCTCAACTCTATGTCTCCTTTCCATCTCATCCCAATGAAGCTGTAGAAGTCCTCAATCATTAGCAAAATTTGGCAAAAAAGTGTCTCTTGTCTAGGTGAGACTGATACACTAACTAAACTGGTCCCTACAGGGCCAACTTAGTTACATCATGCCTATGGGTATTTCCATACTGTCACCATTTGCACTCCCTAAACCCCGAGCAACTATTTTAAACTACTCCCACAATTGTCTCCACTGCCACTAATCTCATGCTGAGAGCCCTCCATGAGTTGATCAGTCCTTTCTCAAGCTAACTATTGGAACAGCACAGAAATCATAACCCATGCCCCCTATTTATTGTTACTTCATATTCTGCCCATATGGTAAGCAGAACAACTGGAGCAGTCACTGAAGATCTACCATGCTGTTCCTCTGCTCTACTGAAAAAACAAGTGGCATCTCTGAGGTTTAAGCTCCACTGGGAGGGAAAATAATCTAAGAGCAGAAAGAAGGTGAATTTTGTCACCAACGGGAAATGCGCTGCCCCAAAGTTCCAATATTTAGACTGTAAAACTGTCTTGGCAGCATCTCCCTTTGTACATAGCAGAGCCAGAAGTTAACTGTCTCTGTAGCCCAAAGAAGACAACAGGATGTGATCACAAATGTGCACAGCCAATCCAAAGCATCTCTCCTGCATGGACAGATGCTGGATTACTCCACAACATTGTCTTTGTAGACTGCTTAGAACCAACCATTGGTTCAGAATGCTCAGAGAGCAATAGGAATTCTTTATTGGAAATACGTAACAGCCACACTTGAAAACTGCTTCTTTTTATATTTGCTTATATATCACAAAGCAAAAGAGAGAGATATACACACATATACATACACAGGTACAGTACATATATATTTTTCCAGCCACAATTTAAAGTGTTGATGGAAAGTTTTAAATTCCTTACATGGTTAGGACCAGGATACTTGAGGAATTGCCGTTTCTTGAAATCCTCTTTGATAACCCTCTTGCTTAATAAAAAACTTCAGAATTATACTCTGTAGAGCCTAAGCTCTAGAATTCTCAGGGAATTCACTTCTTAGTACCTTTCCACAAACTGATAAACACTTTTCTTTTTAGAAAGGTGTATGTACTATGAATTTGCGAATTTACTAGATAAGGTTTTGCTTGTTTTTTGAGTATTGCTTTTCAATAATTTACTGTTATGTTCTGCTGCTTTCTGCTGCTATTTCATGGTTTTAGTTGTCCTAGTGTAAGGATAGTTTTTAATTTATTCATTTATTATTTTTTTAAACTACCTTAAGCATTCTAGAGGAATTGCAAGATATCAGTATTCTAAATAAAGACTGAATTAACCACACTTTGAATGCTTTTTTATGTTCTGTATTTTATCTACCTTCAGTTGTAGCTTGTCCCTCTAGAGGTGGTCCTTCTCCACTTCTGTAGGAAGCCAAGACCGAAATCTTGTACTTAGTTTCAGGCTGAAGGTTTTCTAAGTCAGTATTTACTACATCTCCAGGAACTGTTGTTTCCCCAGACTGGTCATCATAAAGGGATTTCCATCGAATTTTATAATTCTGAACTGGTCCTGGAGCTGCTGTCCATGAGACTCCAATTGAAGTATCAGTTATGTCTCTAGTAATGAGGTCACGAGGAGAACCACGCTCTTTATGAAAGGGACAAAAATGAGAATTGTTGTGGTCAATCAATAAATACTCCAATAAAATTGGAACAGAAAAAAAATTAATGGCCATGAAATGAAATAAAAGCATCTTGGTGGCTTCATAGATACATCAATGTAATTTCCTTGGTAACAATATGGATGAAATTTGGAGGATTCCACACACCTCAAAAACTATTCAGAAAAGTAATTTGGACCTCACACAAATACAGCACCTTTCTCTATTCATTAAAGCACATAATCCTTTTTTCAGGCTTTCATACAAATTTAAAGAAAGGTGTTTCTGCTTTAATAATCAAAACATCAAAGAAGCCTGAAAAAAGTCCTGACACTTCAATGAATAGCAGAAAAGTCCTGTGATTCAGCTCACAAAAGGTACAAAGTACTTCTGAATCATTTTCAAACTATGTACAGCCACAGTAATTAATCACTGCCTTTTTACAGAGTCAAACTTCCCAGTCAAAGCTACCACCCTAGTGTTTAGTTTTTCCAAGACTACATGAAGGTTGGCTAGGTGCAACTATAATACAACTTAGCTATATATTATGCAGTTCCATTTTAAGTATATTCCTTGAAAAGGTTTGCTTGTAAAATCTTGTAGCAATCACAGATATTCTAATATCAGCAATTGGGGTTCTGAAAATAAGAGTGCAAACTGTAGGAAATCTGTAATTATTATATTAACTAAATATTCTTCAATAATCTATAAATAACCTTATGATCTCATGAGTGTTGTCCATGGGTAAAGGGGGAGGTATGCCAAAATTTGCATGAGGATGTCATCATGCAAATGCCACAACTTACATACTTGAATCTGTCATCGAAATGCAAGGATGTAAAGGTAACATTTATGCAATTACTGTATGTCACCATGCACAGGTTGTCATTTTGGCACCATTGTGTTTTCCTGTGGATGCTGCTAGATTTTATTTGATGATTTGCACACAAACTTTAGAACCAACATACATCAGAGATTTAAAGATAATATTGTATAGTAAGGTTATATGCATTACACCCTCAAAAAGGATACAATGAAATTCATAGCAATATTTGATATCAGATTGACCCACTATATCTGAAAGTTTTAAATTCTGTCTGTTATACCCTGAAATCCCACTGAATTGGTTGTTAAATGAAGGTTTAAGTCTGAAACTGAATCTCAGGAAAATATTTTCCTGGAAGACTGAAAGAGTCTAGATTTCAAAAGTAACTTCCATCAGATTTTTTTAATACTATAAAGCTTTTGCTTTCAAATGTGGCTTTTTAATTCAAATAAAAGAACATGAATGCAATCCAAATGGAAGCAAATATGGAAAAAATGGCTTGATAGAATGTGCCAATGTCTTATAATAAAAGACCTTTCTTTCCATATTCTGATGTAATACAAACATATAAACCACTTTATATTGGCTACTTTACTTTGAAACCCTTCCACAGAATGATTTTAATACTAAACTGTCCTCAGATTCTACAAATTTTGAACTATTAACTCTGGAAGGGAATTCTGCATAACAGTATTGCAGTACTACAGTACTGTTATACAGTAGTATAACATTATCCTGCAAAAATAAGTTAATAGTTTAAAACAATACTAAAGTAAGAACTGTACTACTAGGTAACCAGAGAAAGTAATTTATTGACAATAAAGTATAACCCATGCCCATTATTCTCCCCACCCACACTCCCTCGTAATTTTTTTTGTTAAAAGAATAGTATTTTGGATTTTTCAAGCAATCCACAAAGTAGAAAATTCTGGCCTCGTAGTTGAGAATTATGGACTTTTTTTTACTAAGATACACACACACACACAACCACACACACACACACAAACATCTTTACAAGTCAGGTAAAATATTATGAATAAAATATTGAACAAGCCCTTGACCCCAAACAGGTTTTATATGGAAATATTGCTCTCAATTTCTGAGTAAATACAATGAGACACAGTGATTTCAGCTTCAGCGTAGAAAATAAGAGAGTGTACTATATATTTACTCCAACTTCATAAAAGCAACTTCTCTGCACAGGTCATTTTGCAAAAAACAGGCCAAATGGTTAAGACAAGACATTAAAGCTCAGAGAAATGGTGAGATGTGCCATGGGTCTGAGTCAAAGATATGTTAGAACTTGGCAGTTTGACTATAGGTATGTTCCAAGCACTGAATGCATACATTGTTCTGAAGAAGTTCCAGTGGCTCATGGATTAGTTTTGCACATATGCAGATCATTACATGAGTCTCTACTCTAAATACTCTAGCCTGCTAAGTTAGGAAATAAGAGGAACATGGCTTTCACAGCTGTGCTGCTTACTTTTCAGAGCAGTCTTCCCTAAATTGGTGGCTTCATGATTTTATTATATCCTTTATTATAGGAGTTGAAGTCCAACTCTTCTGGAAGACTCTACACTGGAGAAGTTGGCTATTTCACAATTTATCACTTAGGATACTATTGGGTTGGCTACCTTCCAATGTACAATCTAGGATGATTCACAAATCTTGCATGCATTTTGCTTCTAAAAGCTAAGACGGAATAGCACATCAGGCAATCAAGTATTCAAAAAACAATGAAGTTGGAAGTGGAATTGTGTATCAGTCCTACCAATAGAACATTATTGTCTACTGCACCTGTGCCTAGTTTAAGAGTTGCTAAGTAGACTATGTGACACACAATGCTCTGCTTTATAATACTGGAGTGGACAACCCCTATCATCCATCTGTGCCCTCCAAAAGTATATCTTTAGCAACAAAATAGCTCAGTTTCAGCAACTGAGGATCCCAGGAACAGCCTCCAAGGTGGCTGTATGAGAACAAATGTTGGTTGTACTCCCGCATTCTTGAGTTTTATATGTCTATTTTATTTATGTTTTTTAGATTGTTATGGAGTTTTTAATTATTTATTTATTTGTCAAATTGTCAAATTTATATGGCCACCCTTCTCACAAACAAGTGACTCTGGGAGGCATACAACAAAGCTAAAAAGCAATTGATATATACAAAACAATTGGTATTATTATAATTATTAAAAACTTTAAGACTATAAAAAACAAAGCTAAAAGAAAAAAATATATTGGGCAAAGAGCAGATGTTAATAACAATGGAGTCACCTTAATGTTTCACCAGTCCCGTGGGGTCCCCAGGCCTGATGGCACAATCAGGTTTTGAGGGACTTCCAGAACATTAAAAGGGATGAATCCATCCTCACTTCAGGGGGGAGGATATTCCATAAAGCAGGCACCTTGGCAGAAAAGGCCCACCACCTAGGACCCACGAGATGTAGCTCCCTAGTCGACAGAACCCATAGCATACCCTTTTTTAGCCCTGGTGGGATGGGCAGATATAATCGGGGAGAGGTGGTCCCTCAGATAACCCAGTTCCATACCAAAGGTCAACACCAGCACCTTGAATTGGACCTGTAAACAGACTGGTAACCAATACAGCTCGCGGAGCAGAGGTGTAACAAGTGTTCTTCTCAAAACACACATAACTGCCTGTGCCACTACATTTTGCAGCAGCTGGAGCTTGATACTCTTCAAGGGCAGCCCCATGTACAGTGCATTACAGTAGTCCAATCGGAAGGTCACTAGGGCATGACTGACCATGAGTAGAGCCCCTTGATCTAGGAACAGGTGCAATTGGTGCACAATATGAAGTTGTGCAAAGGCCCTCCTAGCCATGACTGCTACCTGCTCTTTGAGCAGGAGTCGTGAGTCTAGGAGGACCCCTAGATTACACACGAGGTCTGTTTGGGGCAGTGCCACCCCATCCAGCACCAAAGATGGCATAGTCCTAGAACTGGTGGGCCCCAAAACTCAAAGCCACTCAGTCTTGCCAGGGTTCAGTTGAAGCCTGTTGTTCCCCATCCAGACCCTCACAGCCTCCAAGCACTGGGATAAGATATCCACAGCAACACTTAATTCGCCAGGAGCAGAGATGTATAATTGGATATCATCAGTACAGTGATGATACCTCACCTCATGGCAACAGATGAGCTCACCCAGCAGCCTCAGACAGATGTCGAATAGGAGCAGAGAGAGCACCAACCCTGCAGCACCCCATACACTAGGGGCCAAGGGTGGAATCTCTCCCCCCAATCACCACCAACTGGAATCAACCCTGAAGAAAGGAGGCAAACCAGCACAACATTGTGCCACCCACCCTCCAGAAGTCAATCCAGAAGGATACCATGGTCAATGGTATCAAAAGCTGCCAAGAAGTCAAGTAGGGCAAGATGGATGCACAAGCCCCATCCCACCCACACCAGAGATCATCCAAAAGCATGACCAGTGCCATTTCTGTCCCATACCTGGGTCTGAATCCTGACTGAAAAGGACAATCTGCTTCAGCCAAGGTCCTCTGAAGCTGCTATGCAACTACCTTCTCAATCACCTTCCCCAAAAAGGGGAGGTTAAATATTGGATGAAAATTGTCCAGTATAGTGGGGTCCAGCAATAGCTTCTTAAGGAGGAGGTGAACCAAGACCTCCTTAAAAGGTGAAGGAACAATCCCTTCATTCAAAGAAGTATTCACCACCGCTAAAACCCACTCACATGACACTTCCTGGGCCACTTTAACAAGCCAGGAGGGGCATGGATCTAAAGAGCTGATGGCTGAGCTCACAACCTTAAATATCCTGTCCACCTCATCAGGCCCAACAGGTTAAACTGTTCCCAGATAATCAGGCAAGACTCTTCCCCATCTCCTCCAGACCTGCAACAAGAACAGCATCCAATTGTGAGCAAAATTGAGTGACTTTATCTGACAGATGCTGATAAAGCCCTGCAAGGGGTTCTCTGAGCCCCCTCTACCCAAGAGGGCATGTGTCACCTGAAACAGGGCCACAGGACAGCTATCCACAGATGCAATAAGGGCAGAGAAGTACTGACACTTCACCGCCCTTACTACCACAAGGTAGTCCTTAATAATGGTTCTAACTCATGTTCGGTCGAGTCCCCTGTAGAATGCCTGCGATGCTCCTCTCTCATTTCA